GTGAACATCAGCAGGAGAGGACTCTTTTGTGATTTTATGAAAAAGTCAGAATTTTACGAGTTTTTAGAAAAAAGTCAGAATTCTGAGATTTTCAGAAAATAGTCAGAATTATTGAGAAAAAATTAGGATTTTCTGAGAAAAGTAAGGATTTTAAGATTTTCTGAGAAAAAAGTCAGAATTTTTAGATGTTATGAAAAAAGTCAGAATTTTAAGATTTTAAGCAAAACGTAAGAGTTTCCATGAAAAAGTCAGAATTCAAAGCGTGTTTGAACGCACTCATCCTAACTCGTTTTAAGGCAACTGTGATGTACCCTCCCTCCCCCCGCAGACCGCTCAGGACTCACCAACATCGAGAAGATCGAGCAGTGTCAGGAGGCGTACCTGCTGGCCTTCGAACACTACATCAACTACAGGAAGCACAACATTCCCCACTTCTGGCCCAAGCTTCTGATGAAGGTGACGGACCTTCGGATGATCGGAGCGTGCCACGCCAGCCGCTTCCTGCACATGAAGGTGGAGTGTCCCAACGAACTCTTCCCCCCTCTCTTCCTGGAGGTCTTCGAGGACCAGGAAGTGTGACTTTAGGAACGTTTCCACCACAACACCCCCTTTAAAAAGAACCCTAAACATGGAAGGAAATACATTTGAGGGGGGGTTAGCTGTGGTGGAAGAGCAAAAGGAGTAGGACAAAAACTGGAATTGATATTTTTTTTTATTCAGTGGAAACGTACCCTCTGAACTTCGTTTTTTTGTCCTTTTTTCTCACAAAACCCAGCACCTGCCACCAGCAAAATCACATCGACTTCACTTGAGCGAAATACACACTGACAGGTACACACACACAGTTAATAGATGTAGATATAGAGTGGTGCAGGAATGAGTCCTATAATCCCTGGAATGAATCGGCATTTCCGCACTTCTTGTTCCCTCTACTTGGAGGTCAATGGTTTCCTGAATGTGTTATTGGTTCTTATCCTGATATAAGATCTGTAGTTAACACAAGCTGAAGAGGTTGTTGTTCTACGACACATATCAGTAAATACCCCTCTGGTGGATTTAAAAACGGAGGTTGCTAACAAGTGTCTAAATGAGACGACTATACGTCATCACGCCCAACATTAGCCGCCTTTAGCTTAGCATTTAGCTTAGCTTAAAAACGGTGGTTGCTAAAAAATGTCTAAATGAGACTTCAAAACGTCATCATATTAGCCGTAAGCATCAGAGATTTTAGTAATCCCATTGGACCACAGGAGATGCTGCCTTCAGGGGAAATTGGACATCTCTGCACCACTCTATCATAAGATTCCTAACAAACTGCCAGGACCGTACAGTGCAAATATATGCAAACTCCAGCCTCCTCAGTTATCTCCTGTTGCACCTGTGTGGACTAGCAGCTGCACTCTCGATAATGCAACCCCCCCTCTCCCACCTCAACCACAGCAAAGTGTTTTATCTCTGGGACCTGACCATCAACTCTCCTGAATGGCGTCATCCATCTGATCCCCCCCAGTATGAGTGTTTGTCAACCTACCTACCCCCCACATACCGACCTCCGTCTGAAACACATCCAACACTCTTACCTCGTTATGTAGTCAGATGTATTTCCACATTACTGAGTCTTCAGTTAATGCTGGTGTTAGGAGCCGCTACAGTGGGAACACTGGTATGGAGCCTTTATCTACAGCGTAGGTCCTTTTGGTGCCAGCAGACTAAGAGTTATTTAACCGATTAGTCATTATTTTATGCTTTTACATGAGTCACACAGTCAACAAAATCCTATTAGCATCAAAATACTCGATCAAGAATGGACAGCGCTAACTATTTACGCTTTCATGACTGCATGACACATTGAGATGCATTAAAACAGCTGCATCCTTATGTCGTAAAACTGCAGAAATATTTGGTAAACTTCAGTGAACTTGAAGTGTTATATTATTTTTTTAGATTAATATCAATATGCTAACATGTAATTATACATTATCAGCCTTTTCAGAATAAAGTGCATTGTAGCTAAAGGCTAAATATGAAGTGTTTCCACTGCTTTTATTGTACGGTATCACTTACTGTACTTACAAATATAGTTAGGTTACTTTATTTAAATGCATGACTAAATCTGCTTCATGGTACTTAGCAACACTAACAAATAATAGAGTACTTACATAAAATATATGAATATATATATTAACACAATACCTCTCCGCCTCATACCTCCTTCATTACCTCACACTCATGAATATTACACCCAGTTGTTTTTATTTTTATGGATTACCTCATTTGTTTAGTTTTATCTTCTGATTGGTCCATCGCTGGCAGATAGTGATGGTGATGTCACGCAAGCCCCTCCCCCCATTCACCTGTACCGACAGATTCTACCTCACCTGTCATCTCCGTGGAGCTGCCCCTCTGTCTGCGACACACACACAAACACACACACACACACACACTCACACACACACACACACACACACACACACACACACACACACACACACACACACACACACACACACACACACACACACACACACACACACACACATGCAGGGATAGACTCTTCCTATATGTGCGGCCAATTCATTTTCCCACAAGTGGTCCCAGATTGGATCTTTTCAGAGTCCCATTACACCTCACCTTGGCTGACCTTAAACACACACACACACACACACACACACACACACACACACACACACTCACACTCACACACACCCACACACACACACACACACACACACACACACACACACACACACACACACACACACACACACACACACACACACACACACACACACACACACAGCAATAGGATGATCAGCGTCTCAGCAGCCGTCTCCAGGCTGTCTGTGCTCACTATCACTGTGAAGAAACTCCGACTGGGAACCGCTGGCTCTGTAACTCATGTGCCTCACAGAGGTCGCTAATACAAATATACAGTATACAGAAGCATATATTTATATATACATAGATATATAAATGTTACAGTTATTATATGTGACATTAGAGCTATCATTGGTTGAGTTAACGCTGCCAGCTCAAATCACGCATCCATTGTTGTAGCAGAGGGTTCATAGAAGAATATATAAATAATATTTATGCATCATTGCAGTCATATGATGCTTGTTTGCCTTGTCGTCATCACCAACTAACCTTGGAAGTTTACCCACCTCTTGCTCACCTCTAAAGTCACGTCATACAGCACAAAACAAGAAGTACCTTAAGCAGAAACACATGTCTTTGTCCTCCTCGCACAGGAGTACACTCATCTTAGATTTAGGATTTGAACTGGCAGCCGTATCTCTTTCTCTTTCTCTCAGCCAAAGGATCACTGGAGTAATCCTCCCTCCCCCCCGACACACACCAGCACCACAGAGCACACTGCCTTCCGCCACGATCAGTTGCACCAGCATAGCAGAGAGAAATAAGTTAGTCACCGTCCTCCAACACCCTCGATCTCCATTTTCCCCTGGACATGCTAAAGCTAAGCTAACGAGTGCATGACTCGAAATGCGCGAAAAGTAGTGAAAAAGATTCTCATTCACAATAAACCGCATGAAACGTGTGACTTTTTAAGATTCATGACTCTTATTATTAGGATTTCGACATTTAGCTTTTAATTTAGATTTTCTTTTTTATTTATATACTTTTTACTTTGACTTTTTTTTCGAAATTGTGACTATTTTTTAAATCCGACATTTTTTCAGATTTCTAAATTTCTTTCACAGTTCTGTCTTTTAAAGGTTTATAAAACTTTTTTTTGTATTGACTTTTTCTGGGATTCTTTTGACTTTAATGCCAATTTTAGACTTTTTTATAATTCAATTTTTTTTAAAGACCTCAATTTTTTTTAAAAGTTTGACTCTAACCTTCTAACCTAGAAATCCACAAATGTACGGAAGTCCTGCAGGAATTATTTCAACATTGATTCAACAGTCCTACAGACACTGTTTTGCAAAAGCAGTGATTTCAAGGCTCCGTCTGTCGCCTCCACCTTTTGCAATATATAAGCGAAAAGTCCACGTCTTTTCCGCTCCGAGGTGTCTCTCTTTTAACTGTCTCTCCGATCAAAGTCAAGGTTTATGTTACGTTTACAATAAGCTACAAATGTGAACTTGATGCTAAGCTGTGCTGCTGCAGCGAAGCACAAACTACAACACTCAGAAGCAGATCATGCAACTTCTTACAACAGATAACTACTTACCCAGGGACACATCTGTAAGTCAGCATCCTTTCCTCACATCTTCTCCCGTCCTTCCAACACCTCAATTTACAATCCAATATTTATTTCACTCTGTCCTCTTAGTATGCACCTACTTCCCTTTCCTCACAGGAACCTACCCCAGCTCATTCTAGCAATCTTTTGTGGACATGGTCGACAATCCCTGCAGGAATATGTCCACATGTGGAATGTAAAATACTGAAATTGTACGATTAAAGACACTGTGTGAAGATCCACACTCATGTTGTTTTTGATGTTGTTGATGTTGCTTTCGTTGTGCACCAAGTGTTCGTTGTTGCGCTTAAATCTAAGGTTGAAAGCAAGCGGGGTAAAACCTCCATCGTGTGAAAGAGTGCTACTGAAATGTCCTTTTTATTCTTTGATATGGTGTGTTTATAAATGACCTGTGGTGTGAGGAATTGAAAACCTCTGAAGCAAGAGATGAAGTGACTTTGTTTTGGATTGAGAAAAAAAATCTTTTTTTATGATTATTCTTTTAATGTCGTTATCAATTTGCATCTGAGTTTCTTGGTAAGTGAATGTCTGTCTATCTGTGTTGATGCTTTACTGTGATAAAATGGCTGTATATGCACTTTCAGACCATCATTGGTGCAGTATCTAGTGCTCATACGTCACCTTAGGGCCAGGGTTCACATCACCTTCAGTTCAGCTGAAAATACATCTGCATGAAAAACAGCCTGCTATTCAATTTCTGGGACATGTGATCGGATTTAGCATTTAAAAAAGTGTTAGTTGCCTTATTCTGTTTTTATAATCTGTGATGAAATGTGTTAAACATCTGTAATAACATTATGAAATTCATTTAAAGGAGTAGGCCCATTGGTTCAGTACTATATCTGATGAGAGTTTTAGCATCAGAGCTAGCTTTGTGTACGGTAGCACTTTAAAATATTCTTTGTTCTCATAGATGACTTGCATTAATCAAAGTATAACCTTTATAATAACATAACAAGGCATTATGGTTTGGACCCATACTGTTGAATTTTCAGAAAAACACATTTTCAAGTTTTTTAGCTAACATTTAGGTTTTCCCGCCTTTTTTGTTAGCTTCCACCACGGCTAAATATGCTAGCCTGAACAGTGTAAACATCTTTTTTTTAGACCGTAATATGATCTTAACGGCTCAAATGTCATTAAAGATCTCCAAGATACAAGATTTTTCTTAAATCTACCTCATATTAGCTATTAGATGATCAGCAGCTAACGGTTATCTCGCTAACTAGCCACTAATATTCCTTATAAACGTGTTATAGCTAAACAGAATAAAATGAACACACTTAAAGCCAAGCATTCTGAAGGTGAATGTATTTGGGACAATGATTAGCTGCAGGCAATCACACAACACTTGTCTTGAATCTAGCTCAAATCAGCTATTAGAAGGAGCCGCAGCTAACGGCTAACTCGCTAACTAGCTGCTAATATTCCTTAAAAATGTGTAATATGTAAACAGAACAAATTACACTTAATGTAACATCAGATTCAGTGTGCATTACTTTTGGATTATGATTAGCTGTAGCTAAATTAGGATCTGTACTCGTACGTACAAGCAATTAGCATTTCAACAAACAAGATTTCTCCAAAAAGTCATCTTGTTGAAGGTTTTATTCATCTAAAGCACAATTTGTTCACTCTCTTAGACTAATGCTAGTCACATATATGTCTAAATATTGATTCCCAAACCCTTATAGCATGCACACCGCTCTAATACCTGCCTGTTATTACTCTCATATCAGTGAATCAATGGGCCAACTATTGCAAACCTGACAGAACAAAACAATTTCAATTAATGCTTTTTTACAATTAATACATTTTCTTGGGGACTGTATGAACATATTGGTATAGGTTATGCTCCATGTCCTGCAGACGTTACACAACAACATATTTTGTTGAACTAAATACTTTGACAATTAATACCTTTGTTAGGGTTAGGGTTAGACACATTATTGACATTTGGAGGGGAGTTGAACCTTGTGTTTTACTTAAAGAAAAACTAAGAAAGCATCAAAATAGTTATTGTACCTTAACCCAAAGATCTCAAAAGCATTACCAATTTCAAATGTGAAAGAAAACTTGGACTACCAGCAAAAAAAAGGAAGATTACGTAACGCTTCCTCGTTTCTGACCACCACAAATCACTTTCATACAGTCCCTCACCGCTTGTTATGGATGAATACAGTATTTTTGTACTTCTACTATCATTAATAGTTTATTATTTTGGGGAAAGTGTTTTGTAAGTTTGTTGTAAATGAAATTTTTGCCAAATCTAATATTATAATTAGTTGAACTGAGAGTGAATGAACCTGAATCCTGCTTTCCAACGTTGCTTGGGCTGTATCACTATTTGCTCTCACTCTTCTGATCTGTGTCAAAAAAACACAAAAAACAACAAAAACAACATAAAATACGTCCTTTTTAGCCTTTAGATTGCTCACAAATCTGACTTTAGACCAGGGCTCATCTTGCAATGTACAAATCTGCCGTGTATTAATCTCAATGTCGTGATAAGAATATTGCTTGGGGATAAAAAAAGAGTTAAGTAACGTAAAGAAAATCACAAAATACAAACCAAAAAAATAGATTTATACAACAATTCATACCTCATTGTACTGCTTTGTGCCAGATTAAAGGAGGGGGAGCGATCAGCCTCAAGCAAAGAATCAACAGTGGTTGGAAAAAAAAGGAAGCGGACCCAACAGGGGTCTCGGGAACATAAAAACCTGGCCCCAAATTAGTTTGACTAAAATGGGGTATATTTGTCAGGATGATTGGAAATGAAAATGTGTTATAGGAGGAGGTGAACCTGTGGGAAAAGAAATGCTTAATGATATGTTGTAGACATTCTCTTTTGAAAATGACTGCACTTACTTTGTTATGTCTATAAGAAATTGATAGCATGAAATATGAAGCCATGCGTTGCGTACTTATCAAAAAGCTCTGCCTGTTCTGCCCTGACAAACCAAGAGAGGACGCTTCACAAGACTTAGGGTGCATCGAGTAATTTGGACATTTTTAGGTGACCGTTTTAAACAATAGAGCGGTGCAGGAATGAGTCCTGAAACCGGGGGATGGGTTAGCATTTTAGCACTGTCCCCTGGTCTGGAGGTCAATGGTCTTCTGATTGTGATTTTGGTTGTTAGCCTGAAAAAAGTTCTCTGGTTAACACAAGTTGAAAACAAACGCTTTGTTCTACGACATGTCAGTGAAAACATATTTAACATTGGCAAAAGAAAGTTGGCCATTTCGCCTTTAGCTTAGCAAAGCAGTTCCTTTATAGCCTGGCTTTAGCTCTAGAGCCTAAAAGTGGTGTTTTCTGCTATATTTAAAAAATCCAATGGGAAAATCCAATTGCTTTTAGTCCATAGGGGGCGCTCTTGCAATGCTGACTTTAAAAATAGTTCATTCCTGTATCACTCTATTGCAAAGAAAATAAAAAAAAAGTGTTCTCTCCCCTCAAAGAGCTTTGAAGACAGGTGTGATCTTCTTCGAATCTGAAGTGCAAATATGCAACGACACAGACATAGATTGTGCCTTGTACGAGATTTAGGTTTAGTTCCCAAACAGTTTCCCCCGTGATGAACATGTCCTCTCTTGTGCTCTTCTTCACAGTGACTTTATGCAGCGGCACTTAGACCCTAATTATCTGAGAGAATGGCAGCAGCCATCGTCGAATGGCACGGCACAGTGTTGAATGTAAATCTGAATGAGGTGGAAGCACGGGGTGTTTTATAAAGCTGGTCGTGGGTTTGTAATGGGCACGGTCGGTGTTTGTCTTGTTTCCTGTGACAAATCATTCATGGCCCAATCTCAAAGGCTCAAAGCTGTTTGTGTTTGTGACATTCATTTAAAACATTATACAATTATTTGATATCAAATCTGCGTCTTTGTCTTTGTTCAGCTGCAAAAAAGGACACAACAAACTCAACGACCGACATGGAAAGGACTCTTTAAAGTAGAGACACTACATACTGATATACACCTGAACATCAGCAGGAGAGGACTCTTTAAAGTAGAGACACTAGATACTGAACACCTGAACATCAGCAGGAGAGGACTCTTTAAAGTAGAGACACTACATACTGATATACACCTGAACATCAGCAGGAGAGGACTCTTTAAAGTAGACACACTACATACTGATATACACCTGAACATCAGCAGGAGAGGACTCTTTAAAGTAGAGACAACATACTGACATACACCTTAACATCAGCAGGAGAGGACTCTTTAAAGTAGAGACACTACATACTGATATACACCTGAACATCAGCAGGAGAGGACTCTTTAAAGTAGAGACACTACATACTGATATACACCTGAACATCAGCAGGAGAGGACTCTTTAAAGTAGAGACACTACATACTGATATACACCTGAACATCAGCAGGAGAGGACTCTTTAAAGTAGAGACACTACATACTGATATACACCTGAACATCAGCAGGAGAGGACTCTTTAAAGTAGAGACACTACATACTGA